TTTCAAAAGAAATTTGAACTGAGAGACGAGGATAAAGATATTGAAAGACCAATGGAAGAAATTCATGAAGAATTAGATGATAAATTGAAAGACAATACCAACCTAGAAGAATTTGATCCAAAATCTAAATTATCTAGAGAGAATCTAATCCAAAATTTGGGAGATCATGAAGTAGCTTATAATATAAAGATCCATTTCTTATAAAATTTAAGGATGATAATAATATGAAAATTGAGAAAATCACTAGAAGAATATTGGATCTAGGAAGAAATATGAGGAACAAGGATATGAATCAATCTAGAATGGAAGAGCTGATAGAAAATTTTAAATTTTAGGAGTTTGTAGGAATCTCTAAATCTGGAAAAGAATGGGTGATTGATCATGGATTACTTAAATGGAATTTTGATCCAGGTGGAATCATTTGCCGGGCTTGTGACATTAAATAAAGTTCTTTATGGGAGGCAACCCATAGTTATTAGTGTGATTTGATTTAGTGTGCTTCAGAGTTTTGATTGTTAGTGTTTTATTAGGATTGCCTTAATGTAGATTGTTTAGTTTGATTGATAATTAGTAGATGTTTAGATTACTAGTAGTTTGATTACATTTTTGTGTGTCATGAAAGAGGTGATTTCTTAAATTCTTATTATGGTTAGACTTGCATGTTCTCTTGTAGTAGTTGGATTGACGAGTCCACTACAACTCGGGTCTAACCCAGACTTAAGTTTTAGAAGAGACATTATGAATTTATCCGTGATCATTCCATCTCAATTTTATTACTTCCTTTCGTTGACCTTGTTTTCATTTGGTAGGAGTAGCTAACCTATTTGATGAGAAATATGTGGATGAATTTACATTATCCATATAACTATTAGAGGTGCTTAATTTAAAGGATTAGATGATGCCTGAGATTGGTTCCTAGGAGCCAATATATCAGGGATAATTTCATCTTTGGGATTTAAATCTATTAAATCATTTATAATTACCCAATATATTTGTGTAGTGATTCCATTAAGAATTGGAAGTAAGTTAGTGAAATGTGATGAGTTAAAGGAAGAATTGACCACATTTATTATGTGTGTTTGTGTTTGTGTACAATAATAGGACTTGAATAACATTTTTATATTCCAATGTTGATACATGTTATGCTAGTTAGACTTTTATTTAGTTAATTTCATTCTGGCATGTTTAGTTTAGATTTACTTTCTACTACATATTT